CTTAAGGAAAATATAATGTGAGTGTATTTAGGTCTACATACTGGCAATTTAGGTAAACAATCTTTTTCAGTTCAAATTTAAACTCCAAACCTTCTGATAATTACATGACATGTACCAATATGAAAGAGACACAATACCCTTACTGTAATGTTTTTTAGTAAGAGCCCAAGTTTAATAGAAAAAGTTTAGAATCTTGTTTCCTTTTTACTTTAACAGGTACAAAATGTAAGCTTCACCTTTATGGTTTAACAATCACATGAAATTAAAAAGCAAAATATGAAGAATTATGTTATAAAATGATGTGTGTATATAAATGACTTTGTGCTTTTAAATGTTTTTTTACTTATTAAACTAAAATTGTTAGAAATGAACATTAGCTCCAATAATAATAATAGTGCCAGAAATAATATCATTTTCTAATTTCCATGCACTGTGTAAATACATTACATTTGTTATCTCATTCTTGCTCGTCTTTTATTGCTTATTTGACAGAAGAACTAAGATTTTTTTTAATATATTTTATGAATGGCAAAATCCAAGTCCAAAAATACTATTAGGAATAAAATATAACTTGAATTGGGTAATTGTCTGCTTCAAACAAGTGGTATACCATGTCACAGAAACTTTCTAAGAAACAGTTCATCTAACCTGATGATTAAATGAGTTTAGTTTGCAGCTCAGCATCCAGAGAACTTGGAAGGCTAATAAAATTTAAATAAATATGATAGAACGATACTGGGGTGTAATGAAAGTGTTTCGCTTATGTTTGTTCAGAGCTTTGAGTGCATTCATTTATTCATCACTTTTGAGTCCTACATATGCAAAACAAGCCAGCCTTGATGTTGGAGATATTGAATCAAACAAAATTGAGACTATCCTTTTCTCATTGCTTTCCACTGAATTCCAGGACAGAAAGATTTTCGAAAAAAAGCGAACAGACAAAAAGCCTCAGACAGTTGCTAACTCTGACTCATTCTCCCTCTTCTGTCTGGGATGAATAGGATGATATTTACCAAGAAGATAACTCTGCAAAAGGGATCAGCTGAGATGGTGAAACAGCAAAAACTGCTTTTTTTTTTTTAATGAATTAGAGATATGCAGGCTGAAACAGCTAATCATGAATCTGGATTTCAGGATGGAGTTTATTTGGAAATCATAAGCATATGGATGAAATTAAGAAAAAGTTTGATACAGTACATGATTTAAGATGGAGTCTTGGCACAGATTGACAATTAACAGTCAGAAATCTATGAAGTATTCAGAAGAGTAGTAGCTAATGGTAGTTTACCTCTAAGGACTCAAGACAGGGAAAGGTTTTATGTGACAATAACAAGTAATTTAACAATAATGGAGAAATATTAGAGAAGTGGTCATTAGCTCAACAGGAAAATCTAAAGCCATTTCAGAGAACTTGCAGCTAGGAGACAATTTCATCCCTTAATTTGAGGTTGTTGTGGCCATTTGAGTAGTAAGCCACCATGAGGTTGGAGCCTGTACCACCAAGTCTGTTTTCAGATAAATTTGTAAGAATATATTTCCAAAAATTGAAATAGTAAACGAGAAGTTGACATAGCCAAGAAAGATACAGTGTGTTATCAAAAAGATCTAAAAAAAAAATTAGTCACAATGTCATATAGAGAACTAAAACATAGGAAATGTAAATAAAGACACATGCATGGAGAATTAAAAATAAATTTCAGTGTTCATATGAAAAGGAGTTTCTAAATGAGAGACAAGAGGGACTTAGCTATATATATATAAAGAATATATATATTTATGTAAAGAATATATATATGTAAAGAAATAATGGCTATCATATATATAATGACTATACTACATAAAAAATACATACTGTATCTATTATATATACACCATTTTGAATGTGCATATATAACATTTTCTTTCTCCTTTTTAAGATTTATTTATTTCCATTGGCAAGACCTACAGACAGAAAGAGAGACAGAGAGAAAGATCCTCCATCCACTGGTTCATTCCATGAGTGGCAACAATGGTCTGAGTTGAGCCAATCTGAAGCCAGGAGCCAGGGAGCTTTCTCAGGTCTCCCACGTAGGTGCAGGGTCCCAAGGCCTTGGGCCATCTTCCACTGCTTTCCCAGTCTACAAGCAGGGAGCTGGATGGGAAGTGGAGCACCCGGGTTACAAACTGGCACTCATGTGGGATCCTGACGCATGCAAGGTGAAGACTTTAGCCACTATTAGGCTACCACACTTGGCCTATAACATTTTCAAAATGGTGGGAAGTCAAGTGTGCTGACCACTGAGAGAGTAATTCAAGCCCTAAGAAATACAGAAAGGAAATGATTCACCATGTAGATACATTGTGGAAAATTTGAAAATGTAAAGATATTTTATTTTATAGAAAAAAAATGCTAAATACATAACGTATATTGGATCAGGCTGAGAGTAGGTTCTCACTGGAAATAGGGTGTCATAAGAAAATGGAGTGGCAGAATAGAAACAAAATAATATCTTCAGATACATATATATCAAGGAAGAATACAAACTACACACTTCCTAAAACACTACCAGGGGATATTCTTCACCAGGAAGAAAATGAAACCTTGAGGTAAGGAAGGCAAAAAGATAACTCAATCGTAGGCGAGCAACAATCAAACAATTGGCCATAAGTGTTAACTGTTTTTCATAACTCATTTCAAGGTGAGACTAAATTGCAAAAGAAAAAGAATAACATAGAAAATGTATAATTTAAGTCCAACAAGAGCCACAGGAAGGCAGGATGGAATCCTCTTGCCAATCAGGGAACTGGTGAACCTACTGGAAGACTGGAAAACTGAAGCAATGGGAGACCCTATCTCTACACAGAACTTTAGTGATGATGTCTATCCCAACAGGCATCAAATAATCAGCAAAGCTCATGCTACTGACTACTTTCCAAGAACATGGATGCTCTCTACAATGATCACAACACCACGGTGCTCAAACTCAGGGATTTCAGCTCTGATGCTTTCTTATGTTAGCACAGTCCATACTCTGGTGTTCATGAGCTCAACCTCGATGGCTTGTCTGGATGTGAACTGTGTCACACTGCCATGTCCCCGAGAGACTCTCCCATGTCTCAGGGCTCTGAGGCCACTACTGCCCTCCACCTCTCAATACTCCTCAGCAGACCCGTGACAGCAAACACATTCTTCAAAAGAACAATGGAGAACACAACCTACAAGTCGGCACAACAAAGCAAAATTTCTTAGTACTTAATGAATGTGCGCAGTTAGCGAAGATGAATAGGCAATTTTCAGTTAGGTTTTAAGATGTTGGTTTTCAGTAAGGCTGTAACAATCCTTTCGGTAAGAACACAACATACACAGAAAAACTGGTCAGTGATTTTGATATTGGATTCCTGGACTTCAGATCCATCATCTTGCTCTCTGAAATATGTATAATTAATGTCTTCCTTCATTGCTGATTCAATACACTTCTCTTGCGTATTTCCATATTTATCCAGTTTACTATTTAGAATGTTAAATGGTTTGTCTTTTTCAGTTATGATAAACTTACCAGAATGCCTAAGTTACAAAATATTAGTTGACTGCATTTTAGTCTCCATCTCCTTTTCTTAAGGCATGTGAAGTTAGAAGGCATTTAATAGAGTCGCAGGATAACTATCCTACAGCATATGAGGCCACAGTGCATAAAAGTTGCTTTACTAACCCAGAAATAAAATTTTACTTGGTGTCTACATTCAATCCTCCTTAATATGGTGCTGTTCAACTAATTGGTGCACCACAGTCAATTAAGCAGAATAGTCTTCACAAAGAGAAATCTGTTAAAACATAATGGTGACTGAGCCTATCATTAAAATGCTCAAGACAGACACCACCACTGGCACAGCTACAGTGGGAGCAATCAGCATTTCCTGCGAAGATATAATTTGTCATGAGCATTTTTTCCTCTTTTTGGAAGACTAATAATATCACGATAGTAACAGAATTTTGACTACGCTGTCACTTTGAAGTCAGATGGCAGTAATCTATGAGGTTTCTTTTTAATTAGAAAAGAAAAATGCAAGAAATTTAGATTCTCACTCTTCTGGAAACTCACAAATTAAAATGTTAGCTATAATTAAATCATGGAATTTGAAGGAACCTGAGAGGTCATCTATCTGGTCAATTCACTTACTATCTGCACCCAATACAGACACCAGCAGTTGGCTTAGCACTGCAAAGGAATGCTTCTCAATGTCATTGCTGGTAAAATTCTCCTTATATCTATACACCCTCAACTGCAGAGAAAACACTTAGTCAGTGTGTGTATTCTAAACCAAAGATAATTCCTGTTGGTTTTGGTGTTATTCTGCAGGTTTCTTTTCAAGCACATTTTTTATGATTGTGCATTAAAGTTTAATGTGATCTATATTCCACTATCTTTTTAAAGTCCAAGTTATATTAAAGACTCATAACAATATATTGAAAAGGGGATTGAATACAATAGAATTTCCCATGATTCATGCCAATACTTGGTGCATCTGTGTAAACGCTTTTGTTTATACACGTTTTAAAATTCTGCAATCTTATTCAATCTGGGTTTCACTGTTCCTAATTAAATTTAAATTTGTTCTCATCATACTAACACTATTTTTTATCTTGGAAATTTGATTCATAATAATAAATTTACAAAGCAGGCTTTGGCACAACTGTTAAGATAGCTCTGGTGATACCCACATCCCCTCCATTGGAATGCCTGGTTGAATTCCCGGATTTACTTCCAGTCTCACTTCCTGCCAACCAAATCCAGGTGCCAGCAAGAACTAGATTCCCTTCCCCTTAGGCAGGGTGGTTGTGGCTGGTCTGAGTTCCAAGCTAAGGACTTTGGCCATGTCCTTCACTGAACTGTGGATGGAAGATACTCTGCATTTTCATGCTGCCCCAAGCCTTTCAGGTAAAATGAACATCAATTTTAAATTTTTTATAGGTAATTTTTATATGAAGCATTAAAATAATCTGTTAGAAGATGTCAACTTACCACAGGAGAGAAGGTGGCATCATTAATGGAATGCAAGTGACCATATAGTGACTGCTCACATTTACCCTAAAAAGACAAAGCAGAAATAAAAGTAGAGATTTCATGTTGGTACATAAAAAGGAATTGAAAGACATTTTTTAAAGTTAGCAATTTATGCACTTATTGTCCAAAAGCAATAACATTTTCACAACAGGAAACAGGCTTTTGCTATCAACCAGCACTGAGGATAGGGCTGAGCTGGGTAAGTGTGCTATAGTTGGTATCCACACCAAAATTCCATAGTTCTTTCCTTTACATTATTGAGCCGGGGGGTGAACCCTCACCAAGCAGCTCCAGTTCCATTTCACCTTTATCATTGGTTTCTATCTCCGGGACTAAGGATTGAAACCCCTTATGGCATTTCAAAACAGAATTTCCAACACTCACGAGGAAGGAGGCAAGGCTGGTTTTTGTTGTTTGTTTTCAATTAAAGAATCTCATAACTTTCAGTTCAGCATTAATATAATATGTACACAACATCATGAAATGTGTATAGTGATATTTTAGTATAAACACTTGTGTTATGAAATTCATATTTTGTATCTATCCAATCACACTAATTTTTCTGATCAATGGGTAAAATTAAAATTGGAAATCAAATTTTCCAAAGTTGATGTCTTCTCTAGGAAAGATGGACCTGTGACACATTGGGCATCTCCAAATGAGGAACCTCAGATTAGCATATGAAGGTACAAAGGTTATTTTTGAGAATGTTTTGGAAATATCCCAAATGCCATTGAAGAACCACAGAAAGATGTATCTGGATGGTTTTGATGGTTTTCTGAAGCTTTTTACCATCAGAATTCAGATTTCATTCAACAATTTAACAGATGTTTTTCAGCAATTAAGATGTACCAGGCACAATTCTAGATACTTAGCAGAACTCAACAGATCAAACCAAGAGTCTGGCCCTGTGAAAAAGGCATAGTATGTGTTTAAATGTGAGAAGAAGAAAATATCAGGAAAGGTAGGGATACATGATAAGTTATTTTGGGGCAGAGAGGCCAACAACAAGTTCCCCATCAAGTAGCATGATCCGGTTTGGCCTCACTCAGAAGGTAAAGTTTGAATAAGGACTGAAGGTTGCACAGCCCAGTGGCTACGTGGAGGAAGTATCTTTCACGTGCAAAGCTCTCAGGTGGTCAAGCTCTCAGGCTTGACATGTTTGTGGAGCTACAAGGAAGATTTCATCTTATTCCTTTGGCCATCTTGTATTTACATTAAAAATTTTTGAGGCTGGGAGTAAGTTCACAGAAAGCCCTTCAAAATGAGATATTAATGCGAGGGCATGACTACGATGCCACCTAATTATTATTGATCATCCATACTATATTTATGAATAAGCAAACGTAGAAATGTCTTATAACTAAGCTATTTCACCCTAACTATTGCCAGTGTATTCAGCAAGTTAACTTTCAAATGTACATTTATAGAATCAAGATATGCTACTAATCCTTGTTCAGAGAATGCAAAATCTCACCATATATAAAAATTCCACAGGAGTACATTAAAACATGTTGGCACTCACTCTTGGAGCTTACACTTTCCCCTTGTTAATCTGGCTCAGCATTTTTCTACTGTTATAACTTCAAAGTAGTTGCACCAAAATTTTAGAATCATCCAAATCCCCAAAGTAGAAGCAAATTACTTACAAAGTCAAAAAGACAAAGTATGAGATGTTATAATTGAAAAAGATGCATTGTAATTGTACTTTACATATTATCATGGATCTTTCACATTTCACTTTGAGAAATAATAGACAGTGATATAATACACTTTTACCATGAGTATCGTGTGCTAATATTTTTACAAAGATTTAAATCACCAGATTTATCTTAAAATATTTTTTGCATTAATATACTTTTCGCATTTGATCTTCTTCTAACTTGAGGGTCCCTAAACTATTTGATTAATTGGTAAGGAAAATGTAGTTTTCTGATTCAAATCCCGCATGCCAAGTTTTAATTCAAAGTAGTGTCTCTAAGGCACTCCTGAAAAGCCCTGGAAATATGGGGTTATAATGGAAATGCTGACGGGCCACATTTATGCTGTTACAACAAAACCTGACTCAAAGATAAATGTTTCATGAATTAAGCTAAAAAATCCTTTCTATCCAGCTTTGTTCCCAAGATAAAAGTGAATCTAGTCTTTTTATGGTATAGGGAATATGTCGGTTACTAATATTCTAGTCTACAAACAGCCTTAATGAAAGGCAGTTCCCAAACTGGGATATTAAAATTTGGAATATTAACTCTGAAGAATTCTTGTCAGAATTGTTTTCTTTCAGAAGAGTGGGAAAAATGAAGGGAAAAAGTATCATGTGACCAAACACTACTCTAGATTTTGATTATCTCAGAGGGAAAAGCTGTGTGTCCCCGGCAAGTAGAATTCCTTCTCTCTTAATTCTTGGAGCAGATACCTCATGGCTGTGTGACCTTAAACAAATTGTTTCAATTCACTGTGCTTCCTTTGCTGACTGTATTATTAATTAGAATTGTAAAATAGTTGGTGGGCTACAAAAAGAAAGACCCAATCCATTGAAATGCTGATGACTTTCCATCAACAGCATCACACTGTCTTTATGCTGAGCTTCAAATCTGAACTCTCCTTAGAGAGGCCAGGGGAGGCTTAAGTAGTGTGTCTCTGCTGCCTTCCCCTTGCTTTGAACCTTGTCACCAGGGCTCCCTGGCTGTCTGGATTCTATTTGAATTCAGCCAGAGGCATGTGCCACCAGGATATGGACGAGCAGGGAGGATAGACAAATGACCACATTTGCTTCCTTTCTGCTCAGCGGTCATTTGTCACTGGCCCTACTGTCTACCAAACCCTACAACTCTGGTTGGATACCTCTTCCATTACTACACTTCCTACGGTGTTTCCTACTCTCCATCCCATTCCTTCGGACTCAGATAGTGACAGCTTTCCAGTGTTGGGAAGACCTGGGTGCCGTTTTGGAATCCTTAATCCTGCCCACACCTCTGGACCTACTCAACCAGAGTTTACTCTATATGGCCTCAATTTCCTAATGATGACCTTCCTGAAGCAGTATGTCAGATATAATATGCAAAAGAAAATTTAAATTATTACTTCTCAATTGCCTCCTTTGATTCTCACCAAATCATTCCTTTATACATGTAAGTGAGATCAAGCACAAAAAGAAAAATTCTAGGTTATCAAAAATCTGGTTTTCAAAACATTTATTCCCCAAATATCATCCCAATTCTTTCAGGACATCAATTCTTTATTTGAAATACAGCCCTGCTATGACCAAATTCTGTCCCTCTTCATCACTGGTACTCTGATCCAGGACAGTATCCTTGGGAGCCTGGATAGATCGGCAGCTTTTTACTGATCTCCTTGCCTCTACTTTCACCCCACATCCCATTCATCTCTCAGTGCAACTAGATGAGGCAGCAACAACAACACACCCAGAATCTGGTTATACCATGTTATGCTCTTGCTTCCAGCCATCCAATACATTACTCTTGTCCCAATACATTACTCTTGTCCTAAGAATGAATCCAAACTCTTCATCTGGACTCCAAGTTTCCATCTTGGTTGGCTCCTGTCGCTGATTCTATCCTTCATCACTCTGCCTTGACGTTCACTACTTAACTTTATTGTCAGGCTTTTCCTTGGCCAGAGTCCTGGCATCCAGATCAGAGAATGACAGACACCATCCCTGCCGAAAGATGACCTTGGAGTGATTTGAGATCTTCCCCTGAAGCACTAGTTTACACTCAATGGGGATACAAGCTCAAGAACTTCCGTCCATTTCTGAAGATTGTATAAATTTTAAAGCTGAAGCTTTAGTTTTTCTCTTCTCTTTCTTCTTATCATCTCCTGACTTGAGACTCAGTTTTTCAGGTTAGGGGTTCACTATTGTGGTACATAATCCTAAAGTTACCACATTCTACATTTGATTCTCACTTCTCTCACTCCATCATGGAAAATTGAGATGCAGAAGAAAACAGGATGCTCTTTCAGTAAGTAAATGGCTTGCAGTCTGATCCAGCAGCCGTCTATGATGTCCTAGGATAATAAATGTCAATGTAGACATATCAGATTGTCACACTGACCTTCATGTAACATGTTCCTACTTTCGTACTTGTTTTTCTATCTGGGACTTTCCTCTTTGAATGTATAGGTGACCTTGTATTTTCCAATTTGCTTTCATCTCAGTTCCTTTTGGTGATGTTCTAACATCCATTCATGATTCTTATGTGTAGCCAGTGCAGTCAAAGAAACTATCTTCTGGTACCCATTTTTCTTTTCTTTTGTGTATATTGTGTGAAAGGTCATGCTATGAATGAGACGTGAGCTTCCATTGCATCAAATATCTGAGATGTATAGGTTCACCTCTTACCACAGGTATCAATAACTACTAAATAAGCCAATCAGTAACCAAAGCTACTTAACATATTCCATTTATAATTAGTTTCCTGCCACTAGAATTAAGCCCCATCAGAGGAAACAGTTTATTTTTTCTACCACCTTACTATCCCAAAGGCCTACAACAGCTCTGGTAGAATTCGATAAACAGTTGATGAGTGAAAGAGTAAGCATAGTCGCAAAGAAATTTATAAACCCATAAGGTAAGTCACCTTAACCTTGAGGTGCAGGAACAGGGAGCATGTGAGGTCACTGGTCAAACTTTTCCAGTGTTCTTCTTCTTTCTGGGTTAACTGGAACACTCCTGGCCCTTATGAACCCAAACCCTTATAGTGTAAAAGCAGGTCCAGCTTCCTGTCTGATTCCCTTAAACTCAAGTGTCTTTGCATTTCCTTTATCAAAAAGAATGTGACTTAAGAGAGTAATCCAGCTAATCTTACAAGGTCAAAGATTCAATCTATTGCTTCACCAATAGATAAAAATCTTGATGGCCAGTGTGTTGGAATTCCAGGTCTGTGCAGAATGTAAGTGCTGCCCTCACATGACCCCCACACCAACTAGGACTCACTTGGCATTTTGAACTCTCTCAAGATCATAGCATCACTCACTGATCAATCAAAGGATGGTCAGGAGCT